CATGTCGTGTTGTCATGAATAATATGGCTCAGCTCAAAGTGTCATTTTTAGCCTGCGCTCTCAGTAACAAGGCTACAAAACTGTAACTTTCCCTACTGTTGGAGTGCTAGCTCCAAGCCTACAACTTTGGTAAGTTTAGTATGCATCCTAGAGTCTTAAAGGGGTCGAGACCCGGTTAAGTCACGAATCAAGTCCAAATGACAGCGAGATTGAGTCAAGATCGAGGCTGAAAACCATCAAATCCTTGTCAAGGCCTTTACTTCAACTATTTGGCTTCATTCGTCCGTGCCCGTGATTAGGTTGTTTTCTCAAGGAAGGAATGAGTTCTTGTCAAACTTTGTGCATGAGAAATGAAAAAAACAACACGGAGTCTCTGTCGAGACCGAGACCATATTTAGCGAGACCAACGCTCAAAAAGTCAAACTATGCGTGCCAATAAATCCAAGACCAAGTGAGTACAGAAAGCACCTTCAGACCTGACCGGAGTCCTACAGACAGAGATACAGTATCACCTTTAAAGCTTTACATTAAAAACCGGTCCATTTTAATGATTTCTTTTCAATCGAAAGATACATCATTAAGTTGTGACAAGGGAATTCCAGTTAAGTACTGTTTTTTCTAGTCTGTTAATCTTAACTTTCTTGGCTGACTGGTCAATTAGCCAAAATAAGTAGTCGTGCATCGCCTAAAGTACGTAACGCCTACTCTACAGTCGAAAACGCGTCTCCGTTGACCACACAAGCAGCCTCAGCTCCCCTCTGATTAATTTTATCACGTATTTATTCATGTGCAGGGCAGAAGGTTGCTGAGCTTTGATGATCTTTTCGTAATTATTTTTATTAGCTCCCTAGAGATATCCTTCAGCCCACCAACCAAATCAATACCAGGCACAGCGTCTCATCCCACCAGCAGGGCGAAAGAGCTCCCCGAAGACAAATCACTTATTCTGCCAAGCAGATGTGTGTGTGTGTGTGTGTGTGTGTGTGTGTGGAGCCAATCAGAGGTAACTCCTGGCAACTATCCAAACAGGGTCCGAAGGGATTCCAATCGGAGTGGCAAGGTGTAATGCGAAACCAAAATATGTTTCAGAAATTAGCCATGCTCTGTTAACAACGTGTCTTTGTATAAACGCAGAAGCTGGTTAAATCACAGGGCCGCTTGTGTTTTAGCCGCATATTAATGAGCAAATAAGTGATGGCTATTATGTGTAGAAATAACAGCGGACGCGCTGAGCTCATTTACTTCGCCATCGATAGAGGCAGGTGGGGAAAAATGGACGGAGAAAAAGATGTTTCAGGATGAAAAATACAACCATATATACGTGCTCATATACACTACTCAATCTCACGAATTTACGTTTTATATAGTGTTGTAAATCTCTATAAATTTCTGTCTTAGTTCTAACATAGCCAATACTGTGTGTGTATATATATATATATATATATATATATATATATACATGTGTGTGTGTGTTGTATATGTTATTATATCACAGCACTGTATTCTCAATTCTGATTGGTCAGATGGCCTTGATTTGTTTATTTCTATAACAGCAGCTCAAAGGAAAATTACAGGTTTATATTAATGCGATCGTTCTCATACGTTCTTGCTTCTATAGTAACAAGGATTTATAATGCCTGTGATCCTCCACATTATCTAAGGCTACCAATAAAAAAACGTATAAAAATAAACAACGTATAATCGTTGATAACGGTGCAGTTTTCTGTAAGGGCTGTCCAGTGTTAGCGCTTTGTAACAGTCGGTTTTTTGACACTTTGACCTTTGCGGCGTCTCTGTAACATGACAAGCTGTGTTTTTTTTTTTGTCTTATAAACGTTAAGAGAGAGAGAGAGAGAGAGAGAGAGAGAGAGAAAGTGCGGCTGGTGAGGAAATGAATGTTTACAGCTACTATAATGTAAGTGACAATAGGAACTTGTTTTGTGGATGTAGCGATTGATGTAGCATTGAACGTAGCGATAAACGGATAAAAGTACGACATGACGACAAAGTGTTTTGAAATTGCTCTGGTATACTGTAAGAGGAATAAAACATGTGAGTGAGACGCCCAACACAGAGTAGAGTAACGTAGAGTGCTTCCATAAACATTTAATAAACATCTCCTCACAGAAAACCTCGGCATTTAAATGATTAGATATGTTTTCCTTTGTTAAATAACAGCACTTTTTACATTTAAAAATGGATGCGGTGCGTACAAAACGATAACACAACGAGTGCATGTGATTTGCCTGTGAGCTGCTGTTAAAGAAAACGAATCTGACCAATCAGAATCAAGAATGTAAGAGCGCTGTGGTATATAAGTGCCCTACAGTCTGTTTCTATGGGAGTTGTGTGTGTGTGTGTGTGTGTGTGTGTTATTTCTCCCATCCGGAACCGGTCTTTCAAAGTTTAAACTCGAATGAGAAGTTGAGAGGATGGCGAGCGAGTCAGTTCTGCTCTCGCTGTCTTTCTGCTGTGTTGTGAGGGCGGGTGAGCGTGAGGAATCTGAGCGCGGTTCCCGCTGGGCTGCTGTCAGAGCGGCTGGCAGGCACATCGAGCTCTGTGATGCACATCAAGTGATTTCCAACGGCCCAATGCACTCCGGAGTGCACACTCCATTGCTCCTTCTCCCCACCACCCACTGTCCAGCTCCGGCCATTTCCACACGCACGTCATCCAGCCTCACTCTCCCTCTGCTCTTCAGGGCTTTACGCTGCTTTCGTTAAAATATACCAGTCTCTCAAGGATTTCGTGATTGTGCGATCGCAGAAGTTCCTGCGAAATCTAAATCAACTCCACGGAATCCTGTATGGACTGATATACACTCACAGACAAAGAGTTTAGATCCTTTGTACGCTTTTATTTTTTTTCCACTATACAGTACTCTCAGCTCGGATTGATCAGAAGGTGTGGATTTATTTTCTATACGTTTATTTAACATTTAAGGAAGGAGTCTCCAGTGTCAGCACTTTGACAGCGGTAACAGGATAGTGAGAATAAGAATAAGAACTAACTTGATTTGTGGATGTTAGACAACATTCAATGTAACAATAAATACACGCGTGAATAAAGGAAACATTATCATCGCTGTGGTATAGTATAAGAGAAATAAAAACACTTCAGGATGTGCTTTATAAATAGACAAAAGTGGGGGTGGTAACAGTAACGCCGAGCCTTATCACATCACCCAGACATTGATTATTTTCCTATAACAGCACAACCCCGAAAGCATTTTATCCCTAAATCGAAGCACAGATTGAATCTCCAGATATCATCAAATGAGCTGCTAGGTGTCAGTATACAAACTATGGATCTTATACGTATTTAATACCATCCATCCATCTTTAACCGCTTATTCCTTCTTCAGGGTCACGGGGAACCTGGAGTCTATCCCAGGAAGCATCAGGCACAAGGTGGGGTACACCCTGGACAGGGTGCCAGTCCATTGCAGGGCACAATCACATACACACTCACACACCCATTCATACACTACGGACACTTTAGACACGCGGATCAGCCTACCATGCATGTCTTTGGACTGGGGGAGGAAACCGGAGTACCGGAGGAAACCCCCGCAGCACGGGGAGAACATGCAAAGTCCGCACACACATTTCCTGGCGGGAATCGAACGCCAGACCCTGAAGGTGTGAGGCTAACCACTAAGCCACTGTGCGCCCCAAATTTAATACATTTAATACGTATATTTCATTATTTAATAAGAAACAGGAAAAGAAGGATATCTTCCTCACTGTGTTTAAACGTGGCTTTTTGCGCTGTGTAATAATGCCAACGAGGGTATGCAATGTTTATGTGTACGCGTGTGTGTGTGTGTGTGTGCAGACATGCCCCAAGCTCTGATTATTCCACAAAAGCAGGTGTGCTTGCACCCTTCTTCACCGATTCAGCTTAAGCTTTCTCTACATGTGATGGGACAACTCTAAACAGTCCCGTCAGGCTGGGCTTGGCTGAGCAAAATGAAAAGCAGCGATTGATTCCCCCTCCTGTATTGTAATCTCTTTAGTCTTCACCCACATGGCCCTGGAGCCAGGCAAATTGAATAGAGAGAAAAATAAATACGGCCTTTATTGCTGTGGAAATGGAGGGGGGGGGGGTGTTATAGAAGAAAAAAAAACGAAAGTTATTTAGGTTGCCATGTTAACCTGGGTTGAAAGATGAATGGATAATTGAAGGGGTTGCAAGGAGACTTCGCGTTTGCAAACTGATCGCTCATGTCAATACTTTGGCTAAATATTTTTTCGTTCAAAGCCAGCAGGACTGCAATGATCCCTAGATGGCGGGATCAAACTGGGGCTTAGAGCACAATTTAATCAAACGTCTCCGGATCGCCCAATACTCTGCTCGCGTAAGCCAAATAACGCACAGCGGACCAATGAGATTTATTACGTTCCTATTTTATAGGACATCTGATTCAGCATACAGAGGTCGGCACACGTATGCTCATGGTTTCACTGAAAAATGAAAAACGAAAAACCATGGCTTGAGTTCTAGCATTTATCATTTCGAACTTTTTTGGAAACATTTCAACCAACGGTTCAACCGAAACTCCTTTCTTAAGGAGAACAGCGATGCATGAAGGTTTTACTTGTTGTATTTGTATAGCGTAATTAACAACGGGCACTCGTCACGCAAGCGACAGGTATTACATGCATGCTTTGCTCGGAGCTCACAACGGTAGTGGGTAGAAAAGCATCTCAAAACGGCAACACCTTGAGAAACCTTGAGCTGAATGAGCTACAACAGCAGAAGAACCCATCGAGTTCCAGTCCCGTCAGCCAAGACCAAATCCGAGGCTACAATACTGGAAATAAAAAAGTCACCTGAATGCACTGCTCAGCTGCTACATGATTGACGGACTGGAAAATTGCATGAATGAGCAGGTGTACAGGTGTTAGTATTAAAGTGGATACTCGGTGTACATGTCTACTTCCTTTAGTTTGACCTCAAGATAATTGCATTTTAATTCTAACATCATCTAGATATATGGCCGCACGGTGGCTTAGTGGTTAGCACGGTTGGCTCACACTACCAGGATCGGGGGTTCGATTCCTGCTGCAGCCCTGTGTGGGTGGAGTTTGTGTGTTCTCCATGTGCTACGGGGGTTTCCTTCGGGTATTCTGGTTTCCTCCCTCAGTCCAGACACATGCATGGTAGGCTGAATGGCATGTTCAAAGTGTCTGTAGTGTATGAACGTGTGTGTGAGTGTGCCCTGTGATGGATTGGCACCCTGTCCAGGGTGTCCCCGCCTTGTGCCAGATGCTCCCTGGGATAAGCTCAAGGTTCCTCCTGACCCAGTAGGATAAGTGGATGGATGGATGGATGGAACGTGTTCTGAATATTCTGTTGTTTTATTAAGTACGCATATATAATTAGACAAAGCCTCGTTTTCATTTACATTTTAAGTTTCAATACAAAAACGTGTACATATATCAGCAATCACGTGATGAAGCTTGATTGCGATATCTGGTTATTTTTTGGTCGATTTTTTGCCGTAAAACTGATCAACCGTGCCTCAAATCAGCATTCGATTGGTCAGAAATTCAACTGAATCGTGGCCGATTCTGTCTGGACGGCTGTAACGAGCTTGAAACGCTGGTCAATACCAAACGCCAACCTGTGAACTTTCTGAACTGAGCATGGACTTTGGCTTGGGTGAAACTACACACTGATTTCATGACGTTGTTTGCTAAAGAAAAACATGTGGCTGGGTCACTGTACAGAAGATATCCCACTTCCATCCCAACATCTCCACATTGCCTACCATTTACTTTAACACTACACCCAGCTCGGTTCTGCGTAGTGCTAGTTAACACGGCGGCAGCTGCTAAAGCGTCTAAGCTAATGCATGCATTCTTAGTGCTAGCATGCATCCACTCTCATTCAATACGAGCGATCAATACTGAAATGTGTGATATTGATGTAGGTTATCATCTGCCCCAACTCTTAATGCACTAATGGAATGGAAATGAGAATGCAATCAATTATTCGAGCCTTAACTCCTGCTATGAACTAGTTTAAACCCTGGACCTCTGTTACAGCTAAAAATCATCAATCATGCTAGAGGTGAAAGAGTGCAGTGTTAGGACGGACGCGTCACGCTTGCACGACGTGTTCGGAACAGCGTCATAAATTTGGCGTTTACGATGTGATTTTAAAGACGTGCCTGAGAAATGTTTGCTTTTTCCAGTGTAAACGGAAGCAGTATTTGATCTGAGATTAGCATTGGACTTTGCGTATATTAGCAGGATTAGTTATTGCTAACAGTAAAGCTGCGAGCTGAGCTTAAATTGAAGAGAAACGTAAAGTTACAGCATCAGTGAAACACACAGGAAGCCCGTTAGATGTCCTGCAAGAAAGAACATCATCGACAGTGACGCTTAGGATTTTGCGCCACTTTTGAGTAAAGAAATTCAATAAGACAGGATAACTTCAGCTAACTAGCTAGCTGCACGTCAATGCTTTTATGAACCATGCTAAGCAACTGGGCGTGTGTTTCCTTCCATCTTCCATAAACATGCCAGTAGGTGGACAGGCGATGCTAAATTGTCTCTGGGTGTGAATGAGTGTGTGAATATGTGGTGTGTGTGTGTGTGTGTGTGTGTGTGGTGCCATGTGTTGGTCTGGAATCCCATAAAGGCTGCAAAGCTGAATTTAAAAAAAAACAACAAAAAAAAAACAAGAGAAACTCTTGTTTAATGGAAATTGTATTGGTTTTAATGGGAACTCTAATGGGCCCTGTGGGTCTCTACTGGTCATTTGTTGCTTTCTATTGGTGACATGTTATGTCTAATGGATACCATTAAGGACCAGTGATGGCAATGGTTTTAATGGTTAGCTCATGTTCTGTAATGGTATTTGTAGTGAAAACCATTAGAATTCCTAGAATTCATTAGAATTTTTTTTTTGTTCCCGTCTCGTGCCTGGGATAGACTTAGGGGATTGACTCGGTTTAAAATAAAGCCCTTAGTGAAACTACTCCTTCCAGTGCATGTAATTAATTGCGAAACTGTGTTTTCGGGGGTCCTGAGTGATTCCAGCTTCACTACAGAGGACCTTCGGACTTTTTTCGGGTTTGTAGTACTTCTATCGTGACCTAAATGATGCAAAATAGAAAAAAAACACACACTAAACGAACCCGATGCGAACTTTGCTGTGTGTACTCTATCCTGTTTGTGTTATGGTGAGTCACTCAACCTTGACACAGATCCTCCCTATCTCAGGGCTGCTCAGATAGAACAAACCGGAGGGCAAACTGAGGCAGAGACCGGAGCGAGGCGTGTATAATTCACTGCCTCCATGAACCCGAGCTGGTAGCATGCCACATGAAGAGGGAGATAAGGCGAGTGTGCTATCTCGCCAACACTATCTAAGGCCAGAGAAATGGGCCTTTAAATCGATCCCCCGCTAGTTTCTTTTGTATCATTACCTCGGGTTGAGAGTCTGGCTCGGTTCAGCTGAGGACAGTGTGTGAAACAATTCCGTAGTCTGAGCACCGGGGGCAATGTTCGGGCTATTCATTTTTTATTCAGAGTTGCCTGGAGGACAAGTAGGTTCAAAAAAATGTAAAAAAAAAAAAAACAACAACAACAACAACAAACACCACCACCACCCTTATAGACTTCTGCTTTTTATAACTATAACATCTCCCACATTCACACTAGCAAGCGACGTGCTCTTTCTACGTGCACAGCAAGCAACGGCATGACGGCCAACATTTGAATTGTCTTTATCTTGCTCTCGATTCTATGCAAAGTAGCCATGATGCGGTAAAAAAAACGACAAATCCGATCGATTGGCTCGATGACAAGAGTCGAGAGACTAGAAACTAGAACTCGTCTCGGTGATGCAATATTCATCGCCAACGTAGCTACAGCTCACGCAACTTATTCCAAATCTCCAGGCTGTAGCCTCCCGTTGATGAGAAAGGAAGCCGCACGCCAGACTCGAATAATATCTTTTCCATCTTTTCTGAGAGGACAGAAAAAGGCAAGTTTTATAACCGAAATATTCGCCAGTCATAAACGTACGCTAGTTTTCCCGTCACGTCCAGAGCCAATCGCCGACGTTTCAGCTTCCACGGTTGGGGTAAAGCGGGTATCTGCGCAAAAATATGCCTAAGCATGATCGACTGAAATCACCTGCTTCGAAAAAAATAAATAAAAAACTAGATATACTAGAGAAGCTAGTAAATCTGTTATTAAGCAGCGAATCATGAAAAGTAAACACGTGTATTAAAAGCCTATTTAAATAAAACAAATCCTAACATGTTTGCATGAGTGTAACGTGTGTGCATTTCGCATGCAAACCCACAGCTCACTCCTCAACTCTTCCCAAGTGTTTGTACAGGTGTGTAGAGTCACTGAGGGTATGAACACTGTGGTATTAACGTTGTCAGTGGGGGCAGGGCAACATGTCCTATTATACGTATTCTCTCTCAGGTGGAGGCTTCCGTGGCCTTACATTCCTCCCCTATACATGTAATCAGCGAACACCGGCTCCAGACCTCTCTCTCACACAAACACACACACACACACACACACACGGCGACAGATTAAAGAGAAACAACCGAGCCGTCTAATTTAGAAATCAATCCTAAGCTTATATTTCGATTCGACACGACGCCTCATTCAGCACCAACGTATACGGTTCTAGTGCCGGTTTCGTTGTTGGTCGTCACAGAAACACACCACAAGACGAACCGCATATGTACACACGTACGGGACTTTACTCGCACGGAGCAGACTCCGGACTCCGAATCGGAGCGAAATTGATACTTTGGGTTTCTTCGATTCACTCTCTGCAGGTGAGTCGATTCGGAGTCGATTCACTCTCACACTACAGCACAGTCGATCCGAGCTGGGGTTCACTTGGAAGCGGAACTCCGTGCATTTATTTATTTATTTATTTTTGGTCGTATTTTTTTCTAACACGTCTGCCAACTTTCAACGTTGGCTAAGACTAAAGTATTGGCGCCCCGGGCCTTCGTTTGGGTCGCTCGTCGACGTTGCTGCAAACTCGCCGTTTAATAGAGAATTCGCTTGGGAAAGAGTAGATAAGAGTGTGCAAAGAAATTCCTGGTCGGAGTCATGGCGGACCCCTGGAACACTGGGAAAAAAAGGCGGGAACGCACCCTTTTTGGGACATCAATCCATGGCAGGACACCACAAAACATTCACATCTTTTACGGCAGATGCCTTTATCCAGAGCGACTTACATTTATCTCATTTATACAATTGAGAGTTAAGGGCCTTGCTCAGGAGCCCAGCAGTAGTAGCTTGGCGGCACTGAGATTTGAACTCACGACCTTCCAATCAGTACCCCAAGGTCACACAATGGCTTAATGAGAGGGCTACTAAGAGCGCAAGGTTCTCATAAACAATCCATTATTTAACAAATAATGACTGTAATAATAACTGACAGCTACAGATCCAGTTCGTCTTCCCTCACTCGGCGCCTCGGCTTCTGTAACGAGGCATTAGCGTCTCCTGTAGGAAATGTCACTGGTTTACTTGACTGAGTTCCAGCCAAGCAAAGCTAAAGCAGTTGAAAACGGATCACTCTCGGCACACGCTCGTCTCGCCTTTTTTTTTTTTTCTCTCTGGACGAGCCTATCGCGGCTCTGGGAGCAGCGTGTGACATTTCCGTCCAGTGCAGAAAGGATTGCACCTGGGGGCATTGCTGAGCTCGGCCATAAATTTAACCAACGATAGCTACCTTTAAATGTCACTCAAATCCTCAGCTGCATTAACCGGCATGGAGCATGCGCCAACCGAGCGACTCGGTCATCTCCGGAAATCACCGTGATAAAACCGCGTTAACCACGCGTGCGTTCTTGCGAAGCGTTTTTTTTTTTTTTGCGGCGTGACGTTAGCGATTATCCATTATGAGAGATTTTTTTTTTTTTTTTTTTCTTTTCCACCTTTCGGCCAAAAGAACTATGTTTCAGATGGTGCTGCTTAGCCCCTGGAAATAAAATAAGCGGTTTAATGAGACGGAACGAGCACGGCCCTGCTGGGGACTTCACTCCCCTCTCAGACTCGACGAACAATAAGAGCTGAGAG